TGACCAGGATGGTCTCGATCTCTTGATCTCGTGATCCACCCGCCTCGGCCTCCCAAAGTGCTGGGATTACAGGCTTGAGCCACCGCGCCCGGCCTGAGTTTTGATAAATTTTAACTTTTTTTTTTTAGTCAAATACTGCAGTACTGATTTAACCAGTATAAAATTGAAAGAGCTTTAGATCTGTAATAAAAATTCAAATTTGGGAAAGAGCAAACTTTAAAACAGCAGCCAAGTAGAGAAGGGTTGGGGAAAGGAGGGGTGAGTGAACAGGCAAATTTTAATTTTTATAATAGATTTGTGTATATAGTAGTAAATGATAAAATAGTCTCTATGTATAATGTTTTCTTTTTAATTTTACTTTATTTTATTTTATTTTTTTAAAGATGGGGTTTCAACATGATGGCCAGGCTGGTCGTGAACTCCTGACTTCAGGTGATCCACCCACCTTGGCCTCTCAAAGTGCTAGGATTATAGGTGTGAGCCACTGCGCCCGGCCTACTTTATTTTTTTTTTTTAAGAGACGAAGTCTCACTGTGTTGCCCAGGCTGGTCTTGAACACCTGGGCTCAAGCAATCCTCTCATCTCTGAGGCCTCCCAAAGTGCTGGGATTTACAGGCATGAGCCACCATGCCCAACCAATTTTTAAAAAATTTTTAAGGTACACAATTTGCAAAAACCTTTCTAATATATATGTATATTTTTAAATTTGCATATAAGTGGACCCACACAGTTCAAACCCATATTGTTTAGGGTTACCTATTTGTTCTACCAGTTACTGAAAGTAGTATGGAAACCTTCAAGTTATAACTATAGATTTTTCTGTTTCTTCTTTAGCCTATCAATTTTTACTTCATTCAAAGTTTTGAAACTGTTATTAGATGTACATATGTATGGAGTTGTTATGTCTTTATAATTAATAGACCTCTTTATCATTATAAAATGATGCTGTATATTCCTGATACTGTTTCTGGTTTTTAAGTCTCCTTTGTCAGATATTAATATGGCAGTTGAACTTTCTTTTAATTAGTGTTTGTATAGCATATATTTTTT